ATTGAAATATCAAACGTGTTTAACGATGAATGATTTCTTTCATTTTTTACTTGAAAACTAACCAAAAAACGAAACAATATATATTGTAATTTGAGAATATAAATCACTCCCCTCTTAATAGAGAATAGATTTAAAAAAAAAACAATAATAATAATTGATTTATGATAAGATTGATTGACTGATGATGATTATAATTGGTTGATGAAACGAAATTTGATCTTATATTCAACATAAAAGATCGTTGATGTTTGATTTTTCTGACATCAATATATAATATATTAGCCAAGATGATGATGATGAGTGATACCCTGTGTATGATTTTCAAAAAAATAATGGATAATATTGATGAGTTTATTGATTATATATTCACAATAAAACAACAAAACAAAAAAAAAACATTTGGATTTTCCTGATAAATATTCTGTTTTCTTTTTAAATTAAATAAAATGATTCTTTCGCCATAATTTAATGATAAAATTTCTTGATTTTTGAGTACTTCAAGTATTCATTTGAATTCTTTCTTCGAACAAAAAAAAAATGAGAACAAAAAGTTTGATTCGAATCGATTCTGTTGCTAAACGAATGATGATGATGATGGCGAAAAAAATGCAACAACAACAACAACATTCGATGACGAAATGTGATTATAATATTATATGATTTCTTTATAAAAGAATTTTGCTGTTGATCATCATCATTGTAATAATTAAGAATGGGTAATTATACACAAGAAAATTAAGAAATCCAAAATAAAAAAGAAGCAAAAAACAAAAACAAAGCAAATGGATTTGGAAATAATTAAAGAGAATCAAAAGTTTACTTTTTATTTTTGGTTGTGATTTTTTTTTTTAAAAATTGTCATCATCGTTAAAGAGTCGAAGCCATAAAGAAAAGAAAAAGAATGATTCTTGTGAAAGAAAAGGATGATGATGATCAATTGTGAAAGAAAGAAAGAAGAAAGAGAGAGAAAATCCAAACTATTGCATATATCTGGTTATCATTCATTCTAAAGACGACGACAAACAAACAAACGAAGACGAAGACGACTTAAGATCCAACCAAATCATCATAATGAATAATAATAATAATCAAAATCGCCTTTGTCGCCCATCAATCCACACACACAAACACACAAAGATACTTAATACACATACATTGATTGTAGTCAGTGTACAATCACTATTATGGATTTCGATTCAAAAAAAAAATGATTCGTATTTGAAAAGAAATCAATGTGATTAAAGAAAAAGAAATGAATGAATGAATAAATGAATGAATGAAGCAAACAAGCAACATCAACGTCACACAATAATAATAATAATATTTGCAAACAAGTGTGATCGATGATAATGATGATGATGATGAGATACACTGGAATAGTGTTGCATATTGCTGCATATATAGAAAAAAAGAAAAGAAATTTTTGTGAAAGAAATCGCATCACTTACCCAAAAAATCTTGAGAATCGAATCGAATCGAATCGAAGAAGAAAAACTTTCATTGGAAATTTAAAAGTTGAATAACAACTTTGAGTTTGGTGA